TCTCCGACTCAGTGTTTTTATACTTTACTATTTCTTTTTGCAGGATCTCCACTGAATCAAGGGTTGAACCTTCAATTAGTGATGCGGGTTCCCACAGCAGAGCAAAGCACATTCGAGTCAAGTGATGAAGAACAAGAAAATGAGATAAACTTCCACAGAATTTATGATACTGTCCGTAGTGAGACAGAGTCCAGTGAGGTTTGCTTTCTCCCCAAGCATCTTCGATGTGCAGCATATACACTTAACTTATTAGCAACCAGTGATGTATGAAAGGCTTTGAGTGACAGTATATTCAAGAAAGTGTTTCAACAGGCATTTGCAAAGACCCAGAAGCTTTGGAACAAACAGAGCTATAGCTCCTTAGCAACTGACCTTATACAACGAGAACTTAGTGAACATTTTGTTGTTCCATGAGCTACACAGTGGAATTCGATGTATGATGCATTCATTCATAGGAAAAGCATAATAATGAAGAGAGAGGGTTCAGTCATTAAAGTGTGTGATGTAATCACCATGAAACCTACAGTACGTGTGTTGGATTTACTTCAAAGTGAAACTAAGGCCTATGTGAGACTACTTCTGCCAACACTTACCACATGTTTGACAAAACTGAAAGACTTTTCTTATAAACTACTCCAGACTTGCAAGCCATTTTGTTAATACTTTAATTTCAAGAATTGAGAAGTGTTTTGAAGCTGCATTTTCACCCATAATTTATACTGATTTGGATTAACTCGATTGCTGGTAAAGAAACTGTAAAACAAATGATGATTAAAAAATTTTCAGAGAAGATATAACGCAGCAGTGATGAAAGTTCAGCAAATGCTGATTTATGTGATTTTTCATTATTTTTGAGCATCGAGAGAGATGAAGAAGATTGGTTTGGTTTGAATTTTGCACAAAGCTACCCGAGGGCTATCTGCATTAGCCATCTCTAATTTAGCAGTGTAAGACTAGAGGGAAGGCAGCTAGTCAAGATGGGTAGGGGTCAGAGAGCATGTCATCACGTTTGTAAATTTACATTCAACATTTGATTTAGCTATTATTTTATAAACGTATGTCAATAAGTTTGGTATCAAATTGTAGATTATAATTAAAATTTTAGTATTATACATTAGTTAGTTTCTTAATTTGAAACAAATAAAAAAAAAAGCACTAAATATTGATTTCTATGTGTCACGTGGTACGTGGCCTTCTGGGTTTGGTCAGATTACAATTTATGATGTCCACAATATAACATCTATAGTTTTGTATGAATTAGAAACTCAAATGTTCAATATTGGCAAGCTAGAATATAAAATAAGAACCTCCTACCTTTTCTATTTGCTAAGATACCAAGATATTTAGCAAACCCATGATATTGGCTCCACCCATCACTTTAACATTTGAGAAGACTTACTTATCTATGCCTATTTTTATATACCAATACCTTTATAATCCATTGAAAGCTATTATTTATTTTACATAATTCTGTCAGTCTTCCTAAGTTATTTACGAGAAAAATGCTCTTATATTATTGGAAAGTTTGAAGTATTGCTATCAATACTATTTTGTAAATAGAAATTATATATTTTTAGACCCAAATACAATTTAGTTAGAAAGCCTGGTAAATTACAGTGGATTTGAGGGGTATTAGTCTGGTAATTTATAATTTTTTTGTATTCCAAAATGCTTATAAAAAGTCTACAAAAATTAATATTTTCCATCTCCACATGTGAATTTGGACAAGGCTTAGCAAATATGGCTCACAAGTGCAAACAAGGACTTCATAGCATCTTAAGTAGTAGAGATCATTGTTTTCCAATTATTTTTTATTTACTGTTTTATGTATGAAGACAAATGATTGACATTTCGGTATTTATTTGAAAACATATGTAGTGTATGGTAGCCAATATGTTACAGTATTTTACAAAGTAAGAACTTGTGTTATTTTCTACTCATTTATATTAAGGTAGAATAAAAACAAATTATACAAAACTAAAGACTTGGTAATTCAGGAAAAGTTTAATTATGTAATTTGTGAAAGTCTAAGAAATAAATTTATCCCTGATCAACTGATCTTAACACATGAAAAGGAACATTTTTACATAAACACCCGGTTGAACTTGCAGTTTGCTGGTGAATAATTTGTTTCTTAAGTTACGGTGAAGAAGGCTAAGCCAAGAATACTAGCCCAACCAAAATGAGCTGTATTTATATTACTGGAAACTACATATTTATTGGTTACTGTGGAAGCATGGTAATATCAGAAACAGGATGTCTGTAAGAATTACACACATTTGCACCTATACCAATGCTAAATCGTGACCACAAAGTAAGATAACTAGCAAGTTTACTGGATAGGATACAACTTTATACTTTGTACAGAGTCATATCATAAATATTTTTTCTTACTTTTATAAAGTACTTTAGACAATTCTTGTTGCAACCACTGTATTGTAAAGAAGCCGGCAAATTCTATCCCACTGTGTTCTCAGAGCAGAGATCCAAATAGTTTCTGTAGGATACTTCTGTTTTTTGACTTTTTGGATTGGCCCAGACTTTCTACAAAGTCATAAACATTTTATAATGCCTTAGACAATTGTCGTTGTAACCATTATACTGTCAACAAGATGATAAATCCTACTCCACTGTGTTTTCAAAGCAGGGAAAATTCTGGGAATTGCGCCACAATAACTTATTTGATATTGACAGTGTCAAAGTACGATAACACCTAAAAAGGAATAGTGATTCAGTGCTTTATATTCGGCAGGTTTCTACTTCAGCCGCTAACAGTAGAATAACAATAGGAAATAGGTGTAAAAAGATCAGAAGAAACTCTCAAGAGATTTACTTGGAACTTTACTGTCCGTACTGAAAAGAACAGAGTAGAATTCATTTTGTTTTTTCTAGTTTCTAACTCATCTACTTGCAATAAAATAACTACAGAAAATAAGTGTGAAAAGGTGAGAGCGTAAACTCTGACCATAAGTACTTTGAAATTTTGTAATCACTACTAACAATACTGTACATTTTATTTTGCAACCTTTATTTTCGTTATACTTTGATTACTTACCTACAACCTGGAGAAATAAGTATAATGTTAAAGTACAAAAAATAAATAAAATATAAAGCTTTATTGAAAATAAAAATGTTTGATATTTAATTATGAGCTTTTTATTATTATTAAAGTAATTAAAATAATAAAAATAGAAAGTTGTTAGGCAAGATAATGAAAGAAAAATAATAAAATCCTTCATGAGGTATACATGGCAGAAGCTTCTGCATTACACTGTTCAATAGGGTCATATCAATGTACAAAAACCATGTAATTTTCAATTTCTGACAGGTTATTTTTAGTCAGACACGGTTCAAAGGTCAATAAAATAAAAATTAATAAATATAAATAGATTTATACTGTAAAAAGATTTAAGCTATTTAGAATAAACATTTGTGGTTTCCTATTACAATTTGCATTTATTCTAGAACAAAAAGGTAATTTAGATATATTTCATAATTTTTATGATGGTTACGAGGTCGGTCAAATCGATCAACACCATACAGAGTTAACATTGATAAAATAACAGATTAAATATAGTTTCATTTAAAAAAACGTTTAATGATTATCTAGAAGGATATAGAGATTACGCATATGAAACTTGACAAAGGAATAAGTTAAGGAAAAGTATTTTTAATCTTAAGATTAAAATTACTTTGTATACTGTAGAGTCAAATTCTGAAAGAAAAAATTCACGAGCAAATCTTTAATAAAAAAATCTTAAAATATAATTAAAAAAAAACAAGATAATTTGTGTATGAAATATTTGTAATGTTTACTATTAATCTGCAAAATTTTGTAAAGACTTGTGTACATTTTCAAAAATTATAGTACAATTACTCTCATAGATACTTTCCTGGTCATGAGCTGGGCGGAATCCACCCAGCCCGTAATGAAAGGGTTAATCTGTTCCAAATATATATCTTGTTTTGAAAACAAGTGAAGTGCATACTGTTCATTTATCATTTAATTTATTGCTAACAAGTCAAGACACCTACTGTAGAAGGATCCTAGGCCCATCAACAACACAGTATATATATTTATACTGTTAAGAAGTATAAGAAAAAGTATTTTATTTTGACAACTGGTAAAATAATTATATCTTAAATATTGACAGTTGGTGAGCCACACCCAGGATTATACAGTGGTAAATGGCGATAGAAGAAAATGTGAATGACAGTGGAAAAAAGTAGGCCTATATATGCACAACTGTGATAGTAACGAAAATTGTGTACAGATTACCATTACACTATACAACCATGTCAGGTGATTTTGATAAATGGGTAGAAAGAGGGTCTCATCTTGAGTTAAAAGGCAGCAAACTATGAGAATTTGTTAAACATCAATAAGAACTAGAGAGAGAAGAGAGGAAGAAAGACTGAAAGAAGAGAATGAGAGAAAGGAGAGACTAGAAATAGAGAGAATAAGAGCACAAATTGAGAAAGGAGAAACTGGAAATAGAAAGAAAGAATAAGAGCACAAACTGAAAAAGAAAGATAGAAGAGACTAGAAATAGAGAGAATAAGAGCACAAATTGAGATAGCAAAACTCACCCAACTGAAGGAAGAAGGACACAAGAATGACAATGGAGTCAGGGGTCAGTCGATGCAAGCTGCCCAAATCTGATTTACATAAAGATGACATAAAGAGATATGAATCATTTGCCCAAACTCAGAACTGGGACAAAGGTGACTGTGCAGTCTATCTCAGCCCACTTCTCACAGGAAAAGGCCTATAAGTATATGCAGGCACGATGTTAGAAGATGCCATAGATTATTACAAATTAAAAGTGGCTTTACTGAAATGATATGAAC